TATAAGTGTAAACCTGTTTCGTTCGCTTTGTCTTGAGTCGTTCAGAGGTTATTTTGTAAATTTATGGCCATCATTTTTTGTTTGGAGCGCAATTTGTTTTTCATTTTTGTTTTTATTTGTTTGAAATGATCAAGTGAAAGATTGTTGCGGTTTATTACAGTAAATATTGTTTCTTTAATATCGCGTAGGTATTGATGCATATTGTTTGGTTTCGAATTGAATTTACCTGTAAGTAGGTACGACACAAGGTATCCATTTCAGCTTATCTACACATACTTATAATAAAATTGTAACTAAGCCGAATCTGTACATTAAATATTATTTGGAAAATCTTATTGAAATAAACATTATAATCGATACAGAGGCCGAATCTATAGTTTTTAGAATTTTTGTCTGTCTGTCTGTTACTGCATCACAGAAAATCCACTGAAGGGATTTTGATGAAATTTGGTATGGTGATAGCTGGTTATCCGGGTCAACATATAGGATTCTTTTTATCGCGGGAAAATATCTCATTTCTGAGAAAAAATACAAAACTGCAATGTAAGAGTAAGTATACTAATATGTAAACCTAAGAATTTGGTTTTTGGTCACCTGAACGCGGGCGGAGCCGCGCGCAATGCTAGTTATTTATAAGCTTCTAGGCACTTAATAAAAACTTCTGCTTTCTGAAATCATCTTTCAGTACTCAGTAAGTACTTGCGCTTGTTTAATAAATAGGTAGGCAAGTAAGTACCATTTAAATGCAGAAGGATGCGAATTATTATTTGCAAACTAGCGGCTCACCCTCGCTTCGCTCGGGTTCGTCCGTAGATACGTTTTAATTTTATCGAGCGGAACCCTAATTCTTTTTCTATAATAAAAGTAGCCTATGTTACTCCCTATAACATCAGCTACCTCCCAGTGAAAATCTCATCAAAATCACTCCAGCCGATTCAGAGATCATCCGGAACAAACATACAGACAGACTTGTGACAGAATTGTGTTTTTCTTATAAATCTCATATATAATTTCATATGCATTTAGTAAAACGTCGTTATTTTGACATTACAAACAGACACTTCAGTTTTATTTATCTGTATAGATAATGGTATCAGCTCTAAAATTGAATTGTAAAAGGTCATAAAAATATTGGATATTCCAAATATACCTACTTATTATAGGTAAGGAACTAGGTAGGTAAGTAGGTACTTATTTTTTCGGCTGATTGTATGATGGATATTCTAATTCATTTATTGGTAACACTCCACCTAAAAGCTTCCATTTTAATCTTTTTTTTGATGATCGCATATTATCACCTTAATTTGTTTCTTGCAATCGCCTTCAGAAATAAGCGAAATTGAACACATCCATACTAATATTATAAATGTGAAAGTTTGTTTGTTTGTTTGTCTTTTTTTCACGTCAAAACGGCTTAGCGGATTGGCTTGATTTTTTGTGTGGTAGATAGTTGGAGCCTGGAGGATTGAAGAGCATAGGCTATTTTTTACCGCGGGATATTATCTATTTCCCACGCGAAAACACGTTATAATACAACAAAAAAATAATAATACATAATCAGAATTAGGTAATTGGAAGTTGGTATTAGTGCTCTTCAATAAAATTAAATAAATTCGGGTTATACCATTTTTCGAAATTTATTCTATAAATAGGGGATAAAAGTTTGTATGAAACTACCTTTTTAGTGATTTTTTTTGTAGTTTTAGCGCGAGCGAAGCCGCGGGTTTTGTTGTATTTTTAATGGCTGGGAATTGAAATATAAGGCCCAATTATCACGTATTGTAAGAACGACACTAAAGAGATATAGTGCATAAACACACCTATTGAGATTTTTCTGTATTAAAATGACATTTTAAAAACTATGTGGATGAATTTTATATTGTAACTAGCATTGCCCGCGGCTCCGCCCGCGTTCAGATGACCAAAAACTAAATTCTTAGGTGTTACATATTAGTATACTCTTACATTGCAGTTTTTGTATTTTTCCTCAGAAATAAAATATTTTCCCGCGGTAAAAAGTATCCTAGGATCGCGCGCTACATCGCCCGGTTTATATAGCTTGAGCAGGCGGTCGAGCGATGCGGGGCAGAGGGGATGGACTCGCCGTAGGCATCTCAATGCTCGCCAAGCATTAAAAATGTTTCGCTACTAATTACTTCTAACAACGATATCTCAAAAACTATTCATCTGATTGATTTAGTGTAAAGAGCAATTTTAATCTGCATTAAATGACTAAGCTAACTAAAATATTCATTTGGATAAGGATTAATACCGAACTAAAGAAAATAACTTTGAAAATAACGTAATGTTTTTAATTAAAAATGTTAACATAAAAGTGGTTATTGTAAGTCAACCGTAAGAGATAGAGATATGCTATCGCGGACTTTTTTGTAGCATTTTTATAGATTTTGAATTCTCTAGTACATTACTTAACTGTATCTTTGCTAGTTTACGCGGCGTTCGCGTGGAAAGTTCCCATTTGGCGAGATTTTTTGCGACCTCTTCAACATTTGTCGCCGTATTTCAGCTAATTTACATAAAAGCATAATAAATTATATACCTAAACCTTCCTCAAGAATTACTCTTTCTATTGTTGAAAACCGTATAAAAATCCGTTCAGTAGTTTTCGAGTTTATCGCGTACTGACAGACAGGAGGACAGAAAGACGCGGCCGGGGGACTTATTTTTATAATAAGTATAGATAATATATTTAATTATTCTGTATATTGACCATTATAGTAGGGGAGCCCAAGAGGGGATTTTCTGTAGTTACTCGAGCGCGGCTTACCTTGCACTCTATTGAGTACTTTCACCACAATATAAGTCTTCTATATAAAGGGACGCGTCTAGGGAAGCCGATTAAAATATTTAAAAAATGTTTTGATAAGGTAGAAATACTTGAAACCGTCAGATTAAGGTGTGGTAGGCTAGTCACATCCTGAAAAGTGTCCAATTTAATAATCTGCCGATTTGCACAAGCCTAAGAGGCAAAAATCATCATAAACTGTATAGTCGATTTAGTAGAGTGCACTTGTGTCTGCGCGTACACTTGTATAATATAATATCTCCTGCGCAGTTGGCTAGTCTCAATGAGATTGGCCGCCGTGGCCGGAATCGGTCAGAAAGAATATCATCATTTGTATGGTCAATATTCAAGCAAGTCACTACCTGAGCACCATTAACTTATTATACCTATTTATTTATTTGTTCATTATTTCTCTAATTAAGGCGTAGGTACCGATCGGTTCAACACGAAACCATACGAAAATAAAATGTCTAAATCTAAAAGAACTGGCGTCAAAATTCAGCCTATTGATCTTTTCCATTCACAATCTACCTTTAAACATTAAACTATATATCGCAATTCAATCGCCATATTATCTCAAGCCAAAATGCCGTTTTTAGTTCGCAAAATGCAAATAATAAGTAATTGTGTTGCCGTAGGGTTGACGGCTGTGTTTGACACACCCCATGGCTTGGATTTTTTGTAACACGCGCTCTCTCCCCTTCCTTCGCCATAGTTGATATCTTGGAGTTACGTTATTTTTGATGTGTACGGTTTGTTTATTTTCCATGATTTGCTATTTTTTTTGTTGGCTCTTGAGAAATTTTAATGGTCACTGGTTCTTGTTTATAGATTGTTTGTTTTTTTTTCCCGTTTGGTGTTTAAAAAAGAATAATTAATTATATTTGGTAATCGATAGTTTTGTGGATATTTTTTTGCAATTTCACAAAAATATGCAAGAGGTTAAAAAAAACAGAATATACTACACTAGCGACTCACACTCACTTTGCTTCGGGTTTGTCGATAGACAAAAACAAATCTATCCCACGGGAACTGTACATTTTTCCGGGATGATATATAGCCTATAGCCTTTCTCAATACACGGGCTATTTAATGCAAAAATATTTTTTCAAATCGGATTAGTAGTTCCTGAGATTAGTGCATTCAAACAAACAAACTCTACCTCTTTATAATGTTAGTATAGATTTGATAATTAGGTACTACATGATTTTTACGATAAAATGTATACCTACATAGATTTTTGACTTGGGTATTGTCTAAAAAAAATCTACCGTAATTAAGGCTATAATATAACAAATTTTAAAGAAGAGAGAAAAATGAGTTAAAAGAGCAAAAGTTGTTCAATGATTCCAAAAAGTATGCGGTACCCACTACTTACTTACTCAATTCGTCTAGTCTCTATAAATATTATAAATGTGAATGTTTGTGAGTATGTATGTTTGTTACTCTTTCACGCCAGAACGGCTGAGCGGATCTGGATAAAATTTGGCACAGAGATAGATTATAGTCTGGAATAACACATAGGTTACTTTTTATCCTGAAAAACATACCGTTTCCGAGGGATAGATTTGTTTTTGTTTTTCTAGAGGCGAACCAGAGCGAAGCAAGGGCGAGCCGCTAGTCTTACCAATATACATAAAAAAAAATTATATATACATTTAAAGTGATATTGAAATCAATTCTATAAAGAAATCAGCACCTTTTCTATAAAGAAATAAAAGTTATGTAGTTTGAAACTTTGGATATAAGGGGTAATCTCTGAATTTCGGGTGGGCTGATTTAAAAATTCTTTCACTAATAGGAAGCACATTATATCTACATATATATAAAGAAAAGTTTGTGTGTACTTATGTACGCACGTCAGAAGTTATACTTCTTTGGCGTAACAGAACAAAAATAGCTAAAGATTTCATCCCGTATGTCACAACTCTCTGTTTGTAAAAGGAATGCAGCTAACTTCATCATGTCGCTTTTTGGCTGTCGGCGTGCTTCAACTTCAAAAAATATATATAATTTTGAAATAACCTTGCCGTTCATTTCACGGAGCATAGAAGTAATTGCCCACAGTTAGTTTATTTGCTTTATCCGCGTACACTGTTTAAACGATTTGAAGCGACAGTAAGTCGTTAGTATGTTACCTTTAAAGTGGGTAGTTTTAAAATAGGTAAAAAAGGGTACCTGTAAAAGGTCTTACCTGACTATCTTTTAAACCTAGTTTCTCAGCAAGCTTCTTCCTATCTGGCTTCGATATGTACTTTTGGACTTGGAACCGTTTTTCTAAGCCTTTTCTCTGTAGGTCCGAAAATACGGCTCGACGCATCATGCCTCTACGTGGTTTGCCTGTGTATGAACAATTGTTTAAAAAAAAGTGACTAAAATTAAATTAGTTAAGGTAATCTATCTCTAAAAAAATGTCTCTAAGGCAGTGGTAGCCCAGTGGTAACGCGCTTAAACCGAGTGAAGCGGGTTCGAATCCCGAGTCTCGCACCTCTGATATTTTTATGTGCGAATCATTTCCAACATGATCACCACTTGCTTTACGGTGAAGGAAAACATCGTGAGGAAACCTGTATGTCTGAGAGAACTTAGTAAGATTTCGAAAGACATGTGTGGTCCATTCCACTGTGGACCAATCCGCACTTGGCTAGCGTGATGGACTATGGCCTGATCCCCCCCGTACTGAAGAGAGGCCCACCCCCAGCAGTGGGACGTTAAAAAGGGCCGAATACCTTACATTACAATTTATCTCTACGATATTTTTTTAACTTAATTTCGTGTAAAATATTAAGATTTAACTAAACATCGGCTTTGGCTTTTGGTCAGAATTTACATAGGAATTTAGATATTCAATGCAGTTGCTACCCCTTAAATTAACATTAACTATACTAAATAAAAATTAACTATGACAAAATATTTTAAATAAAATTATCTTTTCGAATGTTTTAGCAGATTTATTTTTATTTTTGGTTCTCGACGTTTCGAATGCCAATAACTAGGTACTATAAAATGCCTTTGGAACGTCTAAAACCTTAGTCTCTCCCGTAACCATGATCGCTGTAAAGCATTAGAAACAACGGGAACCAAAAATCAACCAAAGATCGGCGAAAAAATCCGAAAAGATAGTTTTATTTAAAATGTCAAATATTTCCGTAAATCTAAGAAAGTATTATATGACAAAATACGTTCCTTAGTGAATTCCACCATAATATTATGATCATAAAAAATGATGATGATGATGATGATGAAAAATGTCACTCACCTCTAGAACTATGTGCCCAGGGAAATCCACCGGGCAGGGGGAAAACTTGTGTGTGCGCTTGTGCGGGTCGAACTGTGCAAAAAAAAAAACAAAATAATTTAACTAAAATATTATATGCTAATGTTTCCATGAAGTTTCAGTTTTCTATTATAATATTGTAGTCATAGGAAGACATGAAGATAAAATAAATAATAGCAATTACAATGAACACGAAACCCGAGTGAAGCGGGTTCAAATCCCGGGTCTCGCGTCTATGATAATTTTATATGCGAATCATTTCCAACATGATTACCACTTGTCTTACGGTGAAGGAAAATATCGTGAGGAAACCTGCATGTCTGAGAGAACCTAGCAAGTTTTCAAAAGACATGTGAAGTCCGCCAACCGGCAATTGGCCAGCGTGGTGGACTATGGCCTGATCCCTCTCGTATTGAAGGGAGGCCCACCCCCAGCAGTGGAGTATTTAAAAGGACTGAATACATACATACATAATAATAATAATATTTAAAATATTAATGCAGAAGAGCTTGCTGGTATCTATATTATCTGAAAAAATATAACATAGAACCAAATCTTCATCGTTAAAAATAGGTACCTATTTCGAAACTTCACCAGAGTCGTAAGTACATTTTATCAGCTAATTTAAAAAAAAAAACTATTTCGCAAACAACCTCAAGACCTTTTAAAGTTCTGTTTTTATAATCACACTCAATTACACCATAATCGGTACAGCATATTGAAGTTTCAGATTATATCCTTCTTCTATAAATAAAGGGTGCGATATAACAATGGAGTAGGGGCTATTGTACTTGTAATGTTAACCGGGTTTTTAATACATATTTTGGTGTGGTACTTTGTCTGTTTTATAATAGAGCGATTTAGAATTTCATTTTGTACCCGACTGCGTCAGAAGGAGGGTTATGTCTTTCAAGTGTATGTACTCGTATGTATGTATATTTCTTTGGCATGCTCTGTAGCTTTATCTCTTTCAGGCAACCTATATTAGAAAGAAAGGAATATGCGTGTTTTTTTTTAATTTTGTACAATAGCTTACATCGTTATATAATTGTAAAAAAAATTCCAGCTGCAAAAAACTAGATTATATATATATATATATATATATATATATATATATATATATATATATATATATATAATATCATGCCGATATGGATATTTTAAACTTTCGTCTTTTCGCGGCTTGGCGTGACGTCACAGTATGATATACAGAGAAATGACGACTCAATTTGTAGCGACACAATCGCTAATCGCTCTGTTAACTCTGACGTCATATTCGGTCTGACCAATGGCGTGCGTTTCAACTACTTTGAATTTTCCACCTATTATATATATTTTAATAAACATTTTCTTAATCAAAAAGAAATTACATTAAAAAATATATTATTAATATAGGCAATAAAGATTATAAAAAAAATATTTCAACTTTTTTTAAATCATACGCATATTGCGTTTAAAAATAAAAAAAAAATGTTACGAGTGAAGTTTGATGGGACTTACCTAAGTACGGGTGGTGGCAGTGCGCAAGCAAGTGTTGTAAGTGCTGATGTTGCACTGGTATCGGTCTGCTGGCAATAGGTTTGGCTATCGGCCATGGGTTGCCCATCACAGGTTGGCGGTATTCTGTCGACAAAATTAAGCTGTTTTTTCAAAGTTTTTTAGATTAAATCTGTACCAACAAGAGTACTTTCAATAATACTTTCTGATATTGAGAGAAATTTAAGCGATCATTTTAAATAAAACTGTTTTTCGGATTTTCTCGCGGTTTTTCTTTGATTTTTAAGACGTCAAAACCTTGTATTTTTATATGTCTCCCCGTGATCATGTTTGTTGTTAAGTGCTTGTAACGTCTCGAACTAAAAATCAAAATAACAAAATGAGAAAATCCATATATATATATATATAAGTTTTTTTTATAAATTCTAAATAAATTATAATACCTACTTTCTTAGATTTACGCAAATATTTGACATTTTAAATAAAACTATCTTTTCGGATTTTTTCGCCGATTTTTGGTTGATTTTTGGTTCCCGACGTTTCGAATGCTTTACAGCAATCATGGTCACGGGACAGACTGAGGTTTTAGACGTCTCAATGGCGTTATGTACTTGTCTGTATTTTTTATAGTTTTATTTATACATAATGCTTAATAAATTGTTTGGACGTACTTATCTCTTGAACTGCGGGTGTGTTTTAAAATTATTTACTGTCGAATTGAAAACATTAATCGGCGCACCCATTATACACAAGTATTATGCAAGCAAAGTCGGGACCAAACGCTAGTTAGTAAAATAGTAAAGTATGTATAGTAAAAATTATAGAATAAAAGTATTTAGTGCTGCTCCATATATTTTATTTGAAATTGTATGAAAATCCCTAATAGTCTATTCATTCCTCAGCATTTACAAATAGGATACTATATCTAATAACAGGTAGTTTTCTTATGAACGTAACACGCTAGCAGAACCGCTAACAAAAACTAGCATCTATAATATAAATGTAGATCTAATAATAAATATAATTATAATATGTTGGGACATTAACACACAACCCCATCTAGTTCCATGGTAAGCTACGGGGCTTGTGTTATGGATACCAGATAGTTGATACACTACACATATATAACTTTAAATACATACATATTATAAATATAAACACCCATGACTGGATACAAACAATCATGCTCATCACAAAAACGAATGCCCCCAGCGGGACTCGAACCCGCGAATATAATTTTGCATTGTGCATAATCTTATTATTACAGACTACAATATCATTGCCCTCAGCAAATATTTTCAAATTAGCCTGCACTATACAAAGGTTTAATTACCTCACGATACGCACAATACGTCCTTGAAGTAAAGTGGCTTAAGTAAAAAATTAAATATATCCATTCTTCAATTAAGTAAAGACGCTTCAAACGAGCTTAAAACGATCGAATAATCGCTTCGCCCTAATCGTGTAGCGCTATTATAAACAGAGCGGTTCCTCGGTTATAGAATGTAAGGCATAAGCGGTAGCGGTAACATTTTTTTCTTAGATATCTATACTAATATTATAAATGTGAAAGTTTGTGAGTATGGATATTTGTTACTCTTTCACGCCAGAACGGCTGAACGGATCTGGATGTTTGGCACAGAGATAGTTTATAATCTGGAATAACACATGGGCTATAGGCTTTTTATCCCGGAAAAATGTACGGTTTCCGTTGGATACGTTTGTTTTGGTTTTTCTAGAGACGAAACCGAGCGAAGGTGTAAATTGAGGGTGAGCCGCTAGTGTATATATTAATACTAGTGAGGTTTTCGCTTCGCTCGGGTGCGTCCCTAGGTGTCTTACAGTAGCCCGTGTGATACTCTAGATCGTAGTCTACCTGTATAGTAAATTTCAACCAAATTCCAGCCATTTTAGCGTAACAGAGTAACAAACATACACACATGCACACACATACAAATTTTTATATTAATAGTTCGATTATAAAAAATTTATTGATGATTTTGATATGTTTATTGAGTTGTTAAGGTTTATAAAAATTCCCATAGAAAAATTAAATGCCTTTTATGTTTATTTTTATGATAACATTAGCATGTTTTTACTTTAAGTCTGGTTTAGGGGTCGATGGACACGTTAAAGGTTGGAAAATTGTTTAGTTAACCCAAAACATATCGAAAGCGCCTAAAACTAACAATCGTTAATTTTAAAAAAATGCACTAACATGCATAATTTAAGTTATTACTAACTTAACGTCATACAGTCTTCAAGTTCTCATATCAATATAGCATATTTTTGGACATCATGCTTGCTATATTTGCTAGAGACTAAACAATGATTTTTTCTTAATAATAGCAATTTTTAGAATATTCATTAAACTAATCTAATGGTACTGCTGGCTCTATCGGATAGTTAGTTTGTTTTTTCTTTGTATTTATTCAAGTTTTTAGTTAAAAAAAAGAAGTTTGTACTTTTGACCAAAAACTCCGAGCGAAGCTCTGTCGCCTAGGTACCATAACTATACTAATATGAGAATATAATTTTTGCTAAGATTAAGCACACATTTCATAAAAAAATATAAACGAAAACTTGAGTCTGTTTCGGAATCAAGAAAGTTACTTGTAATGTTTTGTCCAATTATCACTATGAAGAACTTACTAATATAAAAACTGAATCTTTAAAATTAATTATATCATCTTTATATAGTATATAGTAGGTACATATATAAAACTGAGGACAAATTAACAATTATAAAATTTTAATCATTCGCGCCCAAAAAAAATGCTAAGCAATTGTCGATATTTCCTATGACTTGGACCATACACCTAACACCCCAGCGATTTCTTACCACCCCTCTGTCAAAGGCACGCCGGGCGTTATATATTGTATGGCCTTTGTAATGCTATTAATCATGTTCAAAGTGTTTTGTTTTTGACTTCGCGTATTAATTTAAACCATATATTGAAAGATCTCGAGTTATGTGAAATGAATCGTCTTGAGAAATGAACTAGGTTATGTCTCGGTCTTTACTTGCCATTTATGATTTTTTTTGAAATCTTTTTATAAATTTGTGGGCAGGGACCGTCTGTAACAACTATATAATGACCTTTGAAAAGTCTAAAACTTTATTTCCTCCCGTGACCATTATTGCTATAAAGCATTCGACCAAAAATCAAAATAAATCCGCGAAAAAATCCAAAAACATAGTTTTATTTAAAATATCAAATATTCGCATAAATCTAAGAAAGTATTAGATTTTTACGTGTTAATTTTGGATTTTGTATCTATGAGATGCTACGTTTTGATTTAGAGGTAGTTTATTTGTCTTTCTTAACTTCTATATAATGTATGACCTCAATTCTAAGGGTCTCACCGGAGTTTCATATGAAATCTGTAGAGCTATTCTGTACTGATCTCTCATCGGTCGTGTCCAATTATCGTCTCATTGTAATTTAAGAGTAATAGGAATAGAGAGTGCACGTTGTGTCTGCGCGTACACTTGTGCACTATAATACCTCCTGCGCAGTTGGCTAGTCTCAGTCAGATTGGCCACCGTGGCCGAAATCGAATATTATCGATCACGGCAGGCAATATCGTCCAATAGATACAGTATTTTTAGAACTAATGGTTTAAAATAATTTTAATTATATATCGCTTCGCTTCGCTCGGCTGGCGTCCCTATGTATCTAACAGTAACCGATAAAAGCAACTCAACGGCCAGTTTTTCTCCAAACTCCGTGGTAATTGTGAGTTTCTATTAGTGAAAAAATTGTCAAAATCGGATCAGTAGTTTCAGAGATTATACCCTACATCCTACCAAGTCAAAACTTACAAACTTTACCTCTTTATTATATCTTCTATCATATTATAGGTTTTTTTTAACGTTGGGAAATGCATTTACGCACGAGGTGTGGGACTCACCGGCAAATCCAGTACTACCCACTAAAACCCAACAAAACCTTCCCCCGTCTTAATGGGGCGTCGCAGGATCGCTTACGCATTCAACTACGACGCCCCGAATCATATTATAGGTACTGTATGTTTAGACTAGCGACCCACCCCGGTATCGCCTCGCGTGCTTAGATAACTTTGCGTGCGATTTATTTTTATTCTTAATTATCTCCTAAACCATAGGTGGATGAAGCCATAGTCCACCACGCTGGCCAAATGCGGCTACCACTGCCTATGAAATGATGAAGCTGTTAGGTGCACCTAATTGCAAAAGGTAACCTGCAGAACTACTAATCAGATGTATGTATTCAGCCCTTTTTTTAACGTCCCACTGTTGAGCACTGGCTTCCTTTCAATACGAGGGGGATCAGGCCATTGTCCACCACGCTGGCCAAGTGCGGGTTGGCGGACTGCCCATGGCTTTCGAGAACTTGCTAGGTTCTCTCAGACATGCAGGTTTCCTCACGATGTTTTCCTATACCGTAAGGCAAGTAGTTATCATGCTAGAAATGATTCGCACTTGAAAATATCAGAGGTGCGAGACCCGAGATTTGAACCCGCTTCACTCGGTTTCCCAAGCGAGCGCGTTACCACTGGGCTAGCACTGCCTAATCAGATGTTGTAAATAATTTTATTACTTTAAAACACAGACATATCCTGGTAATCTCCTAGTTTCATAACAAAAGTATGAGAATTCAAAGTAAAGATTTGTACATTTGCCAACGAATAGGAAAACACGAAATGATTGCTTTCCGTTTTGCCTCCAACCACTTGTCGAAGACACTTGCCCAAAGTTTAAACTTAGTTTGTTGAAAAGACAATAGTTAGCAGTTCCTTAAAATAACAGAATATTTACATTAAGAAGACATTCGTGATTTATTTTTATACTAATTTTGCTCGTGATTTTACTCGCCAATGCCACTAGCCATAATATAAACTTTTATTAAAAGAATTTTTAGATAGAGTAAAATTAATTTGATAATATCTATTAATTTTATATTGATACCATTTGGCTATGGTGTTTTTTACGATTTTTTTTGTGTATTACGAATTTTTAACAGTAGATTATGTTAAGGTATCGATTTACCTTAGCTTCGCTCAGATCCGTCTCTTAGTGCCATACTATGTGTTAATCCTAATATTATGTGCGAAACAATATGTGCT